TCTACGTGTACCACATTCCTACATCTCTGAAGCCACAAAATTTGGGCACTTTAATCACGCGTGACTTTAGACACAAGCCCAAAGGGGGCAGAGCAAATACCACAGCGAACTGGGGCTTCTCTTTTGCCAAAAAGCGACCCCACAAAACTCTCAGAGAAGAAACTGGCCCGAGGTGGAGCAGAAAGCACACCCTTAGCCATCGCTTTTCCTTTCCAGCTGTTTACAAATAACAATTCCACCTCCGTAAGGCCTCCAGAATCAATCACCTCCTACCTGCCGGTTATTAAATTACTTCTTCCTTTCTGCCCCAGGCTGTTTTGAAAGCCTGAGCTGCAGAAGACCTGTCTGACAGTCAGCTCGGGGCAGGGAAGGAGCACAGAGAGCTCCTTGCAGCACTGGGCCCAGAGCCCAGGCTTTCCGAGGATTTAGGGGTTTAAAGCTGCAGGTAAGTGCTTAGTGGGATTGTCACAGGCTCCTAATTTTGGTGCTATGTATCCGTGGTAAAAGTGACTGCAAGAGTTTTAAGAAAACCATCTTTGGATGCTCGGTTTTCAAAGAGATCAAACTCGCTGAAAGTTTCAGCATTTTCTTTTTTTCACCCATTGTCTCATTTCGGTTGGATAGCTAACGGAAAATGTCAGGAAAAAGCGCTAGAAATTAGAGGCATTTTTCAAACACAGTGGTAGGAGGACACACGCTGCAAATACAACGTGCAGGCTGGACAGAGGAGCCTCGGTGACCAGGACATGGAGGCCAAATGGCATGACCGTAGTGATAATTTCTGTTTTTAGAAAGCTAAAAAGCCAACCCACCCCCTGCCGAAATTATTCGGACCTATCTTGCTGCATGGAAGCTTTGTATTGAGCTGCTTCATTTTTGCTTTACAAAAGCAAGTTTTTTGAACATCAGCAGCAGCCTGCCAGCCCAGCGCTGGGCTGGCTCCATAGGTATTTTACAGAGTAGCAGCAGACCAAAATCTGGGTAAATTATGGCCATCCACAGCCAGAAACACTCTGCTGCCCCACGTGAGGCTGCCCTGCGTGCCGGCTGCCCCTGGGCTCCCCAGCACCTCCCTGGGGGCATGGGCGCTGCTGGGCACCAGCACTGCAGCTGCCTGGGTTTTTGGGAACAGGTCACACACAGCACTGAGTTACTGCCAAAAACAAATAGTGGGGAGTTTGCTGCTACTGGGGAAAGATGATGAAAAACTTCACAAGCACTGCTCGCTTCTCACTGCTCGCATCGGTGACTTCACCTTCCTCGTCTCTTGCAAGTGCTGGTAGCAGGGAAAATTTTCTCAGAGAACAGGAAAAGGGCGTTTTGTGTCATTTCCAGTGCACAGATGGAGAGGAAAAATTTATCTCTGTGAGAAAATCCTTGTCTACGGGGTGTAATGATACTCAAATGGCAAACTTGGTGTGGCGTCCACCAAAAAATAAAGGGAGGGGGGGAGAGGATTCAGATGGGTGAGTAGATGGAGTCCCATGGCTTGTAACTGCCTGTTGCAGTTAGGATTAGGAAGAAAATTGACAAATATGCAGTATTTCATCTTAAAAAACAGGCAGATGTGAGTGTGCTCAGCTCCTGAATCAATTTCTCTTCAGCCAGTTTGGTTTAAGTAGAACCTTGCCACTGTTTGTAGCCCTCGATCCACAAAGCGAGGTGCTTTATTATTATTATTATTATTATTATTATTATTATTATTATTATTATTATTATTATTATTATTTATTATTATTATTAATTATTATTATTATTATTACTATTATTATTATTAATTTATTTGTTTATTATTATGGCAGATTTACTGGATTGCCCCCAGCCTGCTGATCCTGCGGGTGCTGAGCCCCACAGCAGTGCTGGGGGTCCCCAGCGTCCCCCCAGCCCCTCTCCATCCCGTGCTCCCCACCACGTCCCGTGTGCCTGGCAGGTGGCTGAGCAAAGCATCTGTTATCCACTGAGTGTGGGGCAGGTGAGAGAACTGCCCAGGTAGCTCCTGGTGGCTTTTCTCTGCTGTGCTCTGGGCTTTGTGCCCAAAATGCCCCAGAACGGGGCTTCAGCGGGGGCACTGGGGCCTCCAGGCTGTGCGTGAGCCAAAGCAGAGCTCGTAATTTGACAGAGCACATTTGGGCTTGTCAGCCCGAAAGTGCAGACTTGTGATATCCTGAAGGAGGGGCCAATAATAGTGTATTAAAATAATTTATATTTTATTAAAGATTGCTTAAACCGGATTATTCAATCTTGTTTATAGTCTCTACAATTGCCATGTGGTTAAAAGGCTCAAGCCATCAAAAGCGAATCTGTGGAAAGCCTGAATTTTCAGCATTTTTTGGAGTCTGCCAAGCTCTCTCTTTTGACCATTAATCCAATCAGCAGGGAGCGAAGCTTCTGCAGCAGGATATCTGAACAAGTCTCGGGCAGATCCATCATCAGTCTGTCACCAAACTTCCAAGTTCTTCCTTCCAAGCCCCTTCCATGACATAACGATCATCTGGCAGTACGCACAGCTCTACTTGAAGCCTTCAGCTTGATTCATTAAGCGAGCAGCCAGCGGCCCCAGAGCTTCCCCTCGTGCAAAGCACCCTCGCCCAGCCCCGCGTCGCCGCCTCCCACCTCTCCAAAAACATTTTGAGATAGCCACGGTTCCCAAGCCACAGGAGCCAGGTGGAAGGTGCTGCTAACCCACAGCTGGGGGCTGCAAGTGGTCCGAATGTCGTAGCGGTCAAAATGGCATCACTGACATTTTGGACAAGAGCGATTTCGTGTGAGCAGACTTTGCAGAGGGCCGTGCGTCACCACAGCCGACTTTCCCTTACAAAGACCACTCCAGTCCCTACCCAGTCCCATTTTCCCTACCTGCACGTCAGGGAGTTTCTCGGCAGCGATGGGCACTGCTGGTACCTGATGGGTTTGTGTCCTCCTCAGCAGCAAGCAAAGTTATTTTTCTACAAGATACAGACACTTTAATATCACAAAATGAAGGCCAGCTTGCTATCACAGCTTACCATTAGCAAATCCCTTCTACAAGCTGAGCTGCACAGTTGTTTATACGGAAACCTTCATGCTTCCATCCCTCCTGTGTTCGGAATAAAAAGAATAAATTTCAGAGTTTTTTTGACAGCCTCTTACCATTTTTCTGTTAAGCCTTTGTATTCCCACAAATCCAATCCTTTCCAAGTCCAGCTCCGAGGACCAAATTAGCAGATACAACGAAATGTAGACCACAGCCATTGTTCATAGTCCCATGAGAAGTGAATGAATGTGCACGTGCTGAACATGTGCGGCTGTGGTACCTGCTTCAGAGCTACAACACCAAGGAACAGGCCTTAACTGAGTTTTAGGAAAAGCTGATACTAGTTAATTCACAAGGCAAAAGCAAGGGAGATTTAATCATATTCCAGTGGCAACATTACTGTAGATGAAAAAGCTGACAAATATGAACTAGTTGTGTCATTGTATTTCTCAGTTAAATAAGATCCAGTTAGGTAGTTTGGCTATATTGGTTGTTGGAAAAAAAAATAAAAATAATAAAAAAAAAGAATAAAATAAGATCACAGTTCTCAATGTTTGCATTCTCTGTGCACAGAATTATCAGTTAATGCAAGACTTGGAAGTCTTGAGAAATGAGAAATTTAAAGTTAGACGAAACCAACATATGCACCCAGCTAGTGTCCTTGTGAGACATTCTCGAAATACCAGCTAAAAGCAAACATGAAGTATGTATTAGTTTTAAAGATCTCCTAGAAAGAGACATCTGTTTTGGAACAACCACAAAGGGCTAACGCCAAAACTATCCCGTAATAGTTATGAGCTGTAATTTGACATTTCAGATACACATTCCTCTTGCCAAATAATCTCATATTTTTGCTCTTGGCAGAGAAAATAAAGAGAATCATATATCCAAGATGAGTAATTTAGTACAATGTAATCAAGGCAAGCTGCTCCAGACTAGGGACTGAATTAGAGTGAGTAAGACGGGGTTTTTTTATCCTTTAAAATACAAGTGTGTGCAGTATATGGGGAAATATTTAGAAAGAAAATGGTTTTCTTTTTAATCTTATTTTCCGTCTGAGCCAAGTGTAGGCTCCGATTCCAAGAGCAGACGATGAGAGGTGGGGTGCCCAGAGCAATGCTGCTGCTAGCTGTGCTCCTCGGAGGTTTCGTCCCTGTGGGCACATCCCAGTCAGGCAACCTGCTGCTCCCCAGCTCTCCCAGTCCACGCCCCAGCACGTTCCTGTGGACTGCCACGGATGTCACCTTCCATCACCACACAGGGCTGCGAATGGAGCTGCCCAAAAACCCCTGGCAGATCCTTCTCCTGCTCGGAGGTGATGCACGGCAGCAGAGCGCAGCGTGCAGCTCGGTAATACCTGCCCCAGCTGTCACCAATTAATCCACCTGTAATTAGGAGTTGGAGCTCTGTGTCCCAGGGCAGGGAAGTGCCTTGTAACGGGAGAAGCACGTTGCTGTCTCTGTGACTTTTCCAGCGTCATTCAACTCCGCTAACTAAGAAGAATAGTTAATGTGTGTATAAGCAAAAGAGCCAAAGGAATTTGTGTTGCTGAGTCTTGTAATGCTCGTTTTACTCAGACTCTAAAATAAATAAATTAACGAGAAGAGAAGAGAAGAGAAGAGAAGAGAAGAGAAGAGAAGAGAAGAGAAGAGAAGAGAAGAGAAGAGAAGAGAAGAGAAGAGAAGAGAAGAGAAGAGAAGAGAAGAGAAGAGAAAAGAAAAGAAAAGAAAAGAAAAGAAAAGAAAAGAAAAGAAAAGAAAAGAAAAGAAAAGAAAAGAAAAGAAAAGAAAAGAAAAGAAAAGAAAAGAAAAGAAAAGAAAAGAAAGAAGAAAAGGGCATTCTCTAGTCTTAACGCAGTAATTCACTTCCATACACAGCAGTTTGAGTTCCCAGCCATCTCCTCTGCCCTTCTGCTCCCAAATGCGAGTTGAACTGTCTGCATCCCCGCTGCCCCAGTTAACAGCTCGGTGTTCCTGTGCAAACCCACCTCGCTCAGCTGGAAGGCAGGATCCTGTTACTTTACAAGGGGTGGACTTGCTAGAGCTCGTCTGTCGGCATTCCTCGAGTTCTCTGCCCCAGCTGCAAGGAGGAATGACCCAGATACCTCTGCATATTGCCTGCTCTCCCATTCCGCAGTTGGTTTTTTGTTGTTGCTGCTGTTGTTTTAATTAGAATGATTTCCACAGTTTGCTGTCAGGCACGTCTTTAAAGTAAAACCAATTAGTGGAAGCACAAATCTTAAACTCTGACATGGATTTCCTGCTTTAGTTAAATGCTCATTCCCTTTTCTGAGAACACATCCCTGGCAGGGAGCAAATAGATCTGTTAAACGGTATTATTTTTAAGAGGTCTTAAGTTACATTCAAATGAATCACTCCAAGCAAAGGAAGCACATCACTAAAAAATGACAAATCCCAACATTTACATGGAGATCTAATTTGTACTGTGATGAAGCTGATGGTTACCAAATGCTGATGCAAATCACTGTAGTTATTTTGTAACAGAATCCCAGGCATTTCAGCTGGAAAAGACTCATTTGGTTATCCTGTGTATTTCATCACAAAATTTTATCAAAGTGTATTTACCCATTCAAGCACTCGTAGATAACGAGACAAAAGGGTGAGAAAAGTAAATGCAGCTCCTTAACTCTGCTCATGGCTTTGGAGAATGAATGAATTTCTAGAGACAGCCACATCCGATGCCCGTCTCATGTCAGGGACTGACAAGAATGGAAAATCACAGGAAAAGTTGTAAGAACATACACTCAGTCAGCCTACATAAGGAGGTAGTGTATTTTCAGGCCATCTGATTTTGTAACTGTAATAAGCCCTGTCTGGAGGAATAATGCAAACCATGCAGAATGTGTCACAGAAGACCACGTTTCCTCCTCGGGCAAAAGAGAAACCCGAAATCATTGTCCTGGAATGCGCTGAAACCTCTTAGCGCAAGTTCCTGAAATATTCATGAAATTTAAGAAAAGAGCAAACTTTTTGGAGAGCGTACTGCTTAGATGTAACCTGCCATGTACATGCCATCCGCTAAGCTCTGAAAATGCGGGAGGAAGGCTTTTTGCAGACAAAAAAAGGCAGCAACACGGGCGTGGGGATTTTATCTTCTGGCTGCCATAACGTTGATTAATTCAGCTCCTCAATAACTCACGCTAACTGGGGAAATTCTTATGGGACGGGTAGTTTGCTAGTGTATAGAAGTGAGTAATTCAGCATTTCAGGATGAACAAAAGAGGCTAAATGTGTATATTATTAATGAATAATAGAGGAAGCACTGAGCTCTGACACGCCAGCTGGACTGAGCTTTTAACATTAACTGGGTCTGAGGGTGAGGCACAGGACAGTGTGTGATGAGCTAGAGGAGGGTCTGATGCTGTCCTCCCAGCTCCGGGGCTCAAACTGCTCCCTGATTTCTGGTACTTCTGAAGAGGACAGAGACAGGCACCTTTTCGATCTCAAATGCCCACGTTAAGCACCGTGGGAGTGGAGAAAAGAGGAAAAATAAAGGGAAAAGAGAAATAAGGCGATGAGGATGCTTCTTGGAGCTCATTTCTCCTGCCGTGGGGCTACGCTGGGGCTACGTGCCTCTGGCTGGGCAGGTCAGGAGTTCGCCCAGCAGGAATTCGTCATCTTTAGGGAGGTTTGGGACCACGGAACACAGCAACTTCACATTAAGTGCTGGCAGTAAGCGCTAAAGAGACCGCTGTTGAAATGTTTATGTCTTTTGCAGAGACATAAATATTTGGAGTATAGCAAAAGACACTGCTTGGCATCAGCAGGCAGTAAGCATTTTACCTGATTACTTGGCTCCGTTTCCAAAGGCATTTCGTTTGGCAGCAGGATCAGCTCAGACAGCCTCTCCTCTCCCCAGCCATGGCCGTATGAATTATCCTGGTAAAGCAGGTTGTGGTGCCATGCAGAGAAACCCGACAGAAAGAAAGCTGCAGGGAGAAAGAGAGAAAGAAGGAAAGACGGAAAGAAGGAAAGAAGGAACCCAACCAAATTCTCAGCACAGCTACACAAACAGCTTCACCATGATGGCAGCATGACGCGAGTCGGAGCAGCAGGGTGCTTCATCGGACGCTGTCCTCAAAGGCAACGTCCCCACAGGCTGCAGAACCACCCCGCAGAGCTCGGCCAAGCCGGCACACCCTGCAGGGCCTGGCTCCCTCCTGTCCTGAGCACTTTGTGTTTTCCTAAATGGAGGCTACCGTGAAGTCCTGCAGTTCTGCTTCCTAAAAAGTGCCCCGTAGTGCTGGAGTTTGGCATGGGGCAGCTCCCTACCAGGGTTTGCACCGACTTCAGCCGGCAGCAAACAGCCCTGCTCTGCCTCCGGGATCGCTCTTTGATGGCTGATGCTGGGAAGATGAAGATATAAGAAATAAGAATTCGCCAGAGTGGCCTTGGCACAAAAATTCATGTTCCCCCCACCAAAGCCATTGCCAAGTTCTCTCCTAACCCAAGTTCTTCCTCCCTGGCTGCTGCAGACACGGCAGATGGAAGCAGTTTTCCACGGATCCCTAAAGCGGCTGATCCCTAGGTGCAGCTGGGCTCACGAGCTTGTTTTATCCCTGTTCCTCTTACCCGAGGCCCTCGCATGATGCAGGACGGGCACAGCTCTGTGCCCAGGGATGGCCCTCACCCAGCCCCGAGCATCACCTGGACACCGGGCGGCAGCATCAGGTCCGGGCACAAACCCTGCAGGTGGTTCAAAGAGATCCGCATCTGGGCTATCAATTTGTAGGCTTACAATAATATGAATAAATAAATAAATAAATAATAACGATAATAATAGTAATAAAAAACCCACATAAGTTCTGTGGAACAGCTGCACAGGCAAAAGCTTCCCCCTGTTTTTAATCTGCTGATTTATAGTTGCATAAACACAAGTATTCTTGGAATGAAAATTGCTTCATAAGGCGAAGGCAGAGTTAAAGGTCATTTCCTTCTAGTGAGCAAACGATACTGCTATGCAATCTATGAACTTGGAGCTTTTTTTTTTTTTTTTTTCTTCTTGTTCTTTGAGTTGCGTTGAGTGACTTTGCTTCTTTCGTATGTATTAGGAAAAAAAAAAATCCAATAGAAACGTTGCAGAGTGACTGGGGCACGAACTATTCTGAGCCAGCAGGAAGCAAGCGCCGCGTACACTCACCAGGGCAGGACTATTTGTAGCAACATTCTCTCGCAGATATTGATCACACGTCTAATGCTGCACATAACAGGCTGGTCTAAAAGTCTGTCTGTAATTGCTGCCTTTTATAGGTGCGGCTCAACTTCTTTTGGATTCACTTACTAAAAAAAAAAAAAAAAAGAAAAAAAAAGAAAAAAAAAAAAGGCAGGCAGGCCTCCTCAGCTGTGGTTAATAAAGTTGTGTGAATATCACACAACGATCACACGTGATGCTCAGTGAGATCCCTGGGTTGTTTCTGAGTGCTTGTTACAGCCCCATCCTGCTGGGACGATGAGAACCACCCACGCCCCTGCACCAAGGAATGCTGCTCGCGGGAAGCCAGGGGCTGTTCGTGGAACAGCACCCATCTGATACCAGACAGAGAGGTCACAAAAAAAAAAATATTCCTTTTGTGAAGATGTTTCTAAAGAAATTCGTGTTTCTGTCCAGGTGTGATCACTTTTGTTGACGCTGCATGGTTCAGCATGTCCATTGCACTCAGTTCGTTAGCTCTCCTCAAATCAAACTTAGCACTGGTTTTTAACCCAAACCTCTCATTTTATACCATCATTTTACATGTGTGCATGAAACAGGAATAAGGGAAAATTATTTCTTTACATACATTTGTAATGTTTACAACCATTTAGTGACCGAAGGCGTTATCTTCTGAGGCTGTCATCAGGACCTACCTCAGTCAACAGGAAGAAGGAAAGGGAATTTTTACCGTGGGCATTCATCATCTTTACAACTGACCTATCACTATGAAAAACCCCTGTCAAAACATGTGAAATTTAATGTACATAAGACACATTATTCGTGGAACTTTATCAGGGAAATGGACACAATCAGCCAAGAGAGGTCTGCTGGGGAGGAACGGGAACCCTCCTGACCCGCTGGCATCAGCAGCTGAGATCCGTTTGTTTTTATCCTGCTGGTCCCCTCGTCCTGCACCAGCCTCTGACTTTGAGAACCTGCTCACTTCTTCTTAACCAGCTGTTTCGATTTGGCACCTGGTGGGAAGCACAGGGGGAGGTTACAGGAGATGGAGCGAGTTGCCCTGGTAGCTTTCTGACACTGCAGGGGGAGGCACCGTCCCCCTTCCCTCAGCCACGCATTCCTCAGGCTTATCACACATACTTGTTGGGCCCCTCCAATCGCCAACCAAGCAGAAAGTACATTTTTATCTTACAGAGCCAACAGTTTCTTGCCAGACTGGAAGTTAAATCAGCTCACCAAAAGGTAAAATGTGTATTGTACTTTGAGCTCTTGAGATGAAGCAGAACGCTTGGACTAAAGGAAAGGGAGAAAAAAAAGGAATACGACCTCCTCCCCTTAGATTGCTCATCAAATCGCACAACAGTCCCTGCATGCCTGTCATCTGTAAAACAAAAAATCTGTAAAAATTAACAACAAACTGGCCCCAGTCCACCTAGCACAGTTATTCCAGCAGCTAGGAGGGGTCAGCGCTGCAAAGAGATTGCAGTGCCATCAACCCACTGTTAAAAACAGTTTCAAATCTTAATTTTGGTGCCTAGTAAGACACATGCAGCCACAGCCCCATGGCGAAACACGGTACAAGCAGTCCTGACAAGGTTATGATGAATTAAAGATGCCCCAGGCCCGTAAGAAGATTTTGCCAAAGCCCAGACTTGCAGCCACTGCGTTCTTGTGCGTTGGCAAAGAACAGGGATGGCGACAAGCAGGTGGTTTTAACATCCTTTAATCATTAGTAGCCCTAAGATTCCTTGTCTGTTGGGCTGTACAAGGCACTGCCTCAGCAGTAAGAGCTGTCAGAGGAAACCCAGGAGAAAGGGAAGCACCATAAGGCCTCCTGCCCCACCGCTGCACCAGCTCGGGGCCTCCGACCCATCCCTTTCCCTTATCAGAAAACCACTGACTAGCTACAGGGAAGATCTCACAGAGCATAGCAAAGCCTGCTGCTGCCAAGGAGTGATTGCTGCTAGCTAACATTTATTTTTCCACAGTTATATTCAGGGCTGCTCAGGGCTCGCTTGTCCTTTCGAGGCAGACCAGAGGAAGGAGTGGTGCGCGCAGTACCTCATCCCCGGGTAAGGCCGGGGAGGCTCAATGACTCACTTCTGACTCACTGCTCCTCCTCTGTTCCTTCCAGACTCTTGGGGGCGTACTAATTTATTGTTGGTCTGTATCTGCACTAAATTATTCCCCCCAGCTCAGCCATCCTGCGCGGAAAGAAGTCAGCAAGCGCCGCTCACCCCTCGCCTCTCGGCCGGGGTAAGCGGGTGAGCAGCACACAGCGAGACCTCCGGCCTTCCTACCCCCTGGAGAGGTTTTAGAGGAAAGGAGAGAAATGGCAGAGTTATTTTTTCTTCCTGGGATGACACGCCATCCGAGTCCACTATTTGCAACTGGGCTGTTCCTACCAACCTCAGAAAATCCCAACTGCTAAACTAAGGTTAACCTTTCCGAGAGTTATTTCGAAGAACTCGGGTAAAATAAGATAGTATGACTCAAATCAACAGGAGGAAAGTGTTGATCACAGTTAATCACAGTTAATCCACACGAATTGCTTTCCCTGACAGAATCAGGTTTTCTTTAAAAAGCCCGGGAATGATTAACCTTTCTTTCCCTGTACCGAGACAGATTGAAGCGTTCAGCAGAGCGCGGCAGGAAGTGTTTGAACAGTGCCTGCCCGGTGCCGAGCAAGCATGCACTGGCAGGAGTACAAGCTTTAGGTCAGAAAGGAAAACAATAACTAAAATAAGAGATTTTTATATACGCGTGTACAAGATCAGTATATTCAGAGGATCAGGGAGAAGCATGAAAAGCGACTGAATAGCAGAGAGGCCTGCTCGGCTCTTCACAGCCAAAGCTCAGAGGCCTGAGGACACGAGGTTACAGTAGAAAGGCATACAAGAGGTTACAATAGAAAGGCAGACAAGTATAATTTTATTTTTATTTTATTTATTTATTTTTTATTTATTTTTTCAACAGCAAAACCAGTTTAGGATTTTCTTCCCCCAAGTCATTAATCTTCATCCCCATGCTCACTCTTCCAGGCCCCCAGTTGTGGTTCCGTGAGAGCTTTCAGTGGCTTGAGGTATGATCCCCTTGCCATCTCCAGCTGCTTCCCCCCGTAGCCACATCACCCTGTGCCACACGGACACAGCTGGATGTGGGAGCTCCTGCAGCTGCAAAGCCCCCCGATGTCCTGCAGGACTTCAGCCAGCCCCTACGGACACAAAGCACTGCACTGGCTTCACCGGCAGCAGAACGTGAGGGCATGAATGTGTGAAGAGGAAGGAGCTGCTTATGCTAACACTGCTACCAAAAATAAATATTTACTGCACTCTTACCTTAGGAATCAATTCTCGGTCCTGACGGAAACTGACAATCAAAAGACTTTGCTCTCAAGCACCTAAGGTCTACCTATATCCAATGAAGTGTGAACATAGCAAAGCATCTGAAGGAAAATTAATTTTCCTGGTATTATATTATTAAAATAATATTTGAATTAAAATTAATGTTCTTGGCATAATAGCACTATGGAAAACTAATCCAAATTTATGCCTTTTTCTGATAAAACAAAATGGTAGCCGTGGCCTGAGCTGCTTGCAGTCACATAGTGTGCTCAATTGCCTTTGGTGCCTAAAAGTCTTAAGGAAATGCTTTGAAACCTTTGGAACCAAGGAATCTTTGAAATCAAAGAAAAAACATATATACAGTTGCAAAATGGCAAAAAGCAATAAAGAATCTGAAAGAGAATGAAGATTTTTGGAGTTAGATATGTTAAACTGGAAATGATTCCCCAAATCCCAAATATTTAAATATTTGTGGCCAGCACAGGGGGGAAATTCTGGGAATTGCTGCCTTAATGCCTGAAAACCTGGAAGGAAAACTTCCTGAGCAGTGACACTGCAGCCCTAACCAGTGCCCAGCCTAACACACTGCTCCAGTGTTCATTTATCGCACTGATTCTGATACTTGATCACTGTTTGCCTTTCAGTAGGGCACTCATGATAAATACACTACAACAAACGACTCCTAACAGCATGGGTGCTACCCAGTGACTCCTACATACGGTCACAGCACAGCTAGGTAACAGCAATACAGATGGGACTGGAGAAAAGAAAATGATTAATACATGCAATATTAATCATTTTAATGACTAATCAAAAAGAAAGGCAAGGAAAATTTCCGCTCTATTAGTTGATATTTTACCAGTATTAAGAGCTACAGCAATAAGTCATAGCTAAACAATGACATCCTATAGAAAACTATTTCCCATTAAAAAAAAAAACTCCTTGAGAACAGCTTTCCTGCTATATCACGGGACCCTCATTTAGGAAATTTAAGATCAGAAAGAGATCAGCTCTGAAGCGGAAAGAAGACAGGCTGTTAATAAACCCTCCCATCTCTGGTGTCTACGATGCTGTGGTCTAACGTTCAAAAATGCATCCACCCCAATTTTGTCCTGGAGAGTTTGGTAATTCCTAAAAATAGCTTGAAAACCGGACCACCGAGGTGTGCTTGGATTTGGATTCCTCCTGCATATAACCTGGCAGGAGGAAGCAGCGCCAGAGCTACCAAATGAGGCCAATTCGTTCCCTGGAATGCAGCCGCACAAGTAACGATGATGGATGGTGACAGCGCGGCTTTCATGTGGCACTGTCCCCGCCACCAGCTGTGCCAGGGAAAGAAAGAGCTCGCTGGAATTCACAGCATTCCCCCTCCGATTAATCCCCGGCCTTCCTGCTGCGCCTGAATGAATTGTGCTGGGTATTCGTAGCTCTGCCGGGGGAGCTTTGCTGATTTCTTTGAGCCCCCTGGGGGGAAGTGATATAGAGAGCAAATAACCAGCATGCAGCAGCGAAGTGATGTGATGGGCAGGGGCGTGAAAACCGCTCACCTCGCCCTGCTCTGCCCACGTCTGCTGCTCTTGGTCTCTGTGCTGCGGGCTGGGAGCAGAGGAACGCCTCACGCTGCGTCCCCAGCTGCAGCTCCAATTAGTCAAGTTGCAGGGAAACACACACACGGTGCTCAGGGCAGGAGCTGGGGAGCACAAAGACAAGCTGGCTGCAAACCGAGATGGGTGGAGGGTGAAGACAGGAAGGTCAAGGGTGCGAGGGTGTGAGGGTGCCCCCACCACAGCTGCCCCAAGCCCTGTGCCCAGTCCCCACCCTTCTTGCCATGTGAGATAAGGACGAGATACCACATTACAATGCCTCTTTCAAATGAGACCTAACAGAGGTAGAACGGCAGGAAGGCTCCGTAATGCCACACTGCAGACTCACCCTGGATTTAGAGGAGAGTCCGTAAGGGATCCTACTGATTGAACAGGCACCAAGGGATTATTTGGAAATGAGCGGTTCAATCCTAACTATAATTATACAGGACTTGCTATAAAATAACATCATCGCAGTATGCTGATGCTTGAAAAAAATGGTAAGGTTTCAAATGCTTGCAATTAAGACAGAAATAGATTTTAGGTATGTACAAAGGTTCACATCTCTCACTGCCACTCTCACTAACTTCCCCCCCAGGTTGAGTTTCTCTAAAAGCAAACTTCCTTGCAGAGCACCCCCGCAGCAGTGCCTCTTTGTGCTTTCAAGAGGACGGAAATGTGACAGCTGGCCTGTTTTTCCCACCTGTGATTCACTGTAATCTCAGACATTTACAGAGCAGCAAATACCACAGGATTCTGTAATTGTTTAGTCTTCCTAATGTCATGCACATGGTTTGACATCTAGTATAATTGTGAGAATAAATATTGCTTTTGTATATACATGTAATAAATATAATTCATAAATAATCACAGAGAAAACAGCAACTAGCATCTGGATTGTTTGGCCAATTATAAATACGATAGTTTGGAATATCACATTGAAAAGATTCACCTTGGGAATCACATTGCAGCAAGGGGAGAAGTGAAAAGGCATCACTTTAAATATATCAATATTCTGTTACATCTCAGATTTATGTGCAGAGAAAGTGGACTCGCAGGGTAAGCCACTCCTGGGGACGAATTCCTCAGACCAGACAACAGCTCCCACTTGTGCCTTAGTCTTTCCTGGGAATGGATGGACTGTGACTTATCCTGAGCAGCTGGAACTGCCCCATCACTTTGCTGGGCTGACAGTTTCTCTTTTTTTTTTTCTTTTCTTAAAACACAGATATTGTTTTAGACTCAGATTACAAAATCTATTTCACTAATTTTGTACTTGAACGAACATTTTTCCCAAGTTCTGAAGAATCATAATGCTATGGGAGTTCTGGTACAAAAATTCCCTGTGTGATAGCCACTCCTGTGGTATGTAATTATTATTCTGGCATTAATAGAGCTGTTAAATATACTGCTGTTCTTCTGTTGAGACCAGAGGATAATCAGATTCCTAAAAATAAAATAAGATGGATTACAGATTCAAAGCCAAAAACATTATAGCTGGAAATCTTTGAGGTTCTGTGGAAAAAATTCACCCTGCTGCACACAGCATATTTCTTGGCTTTCTGGATATCCTCCCTGCTAGAATATCCAGCTCTTCTCTTCAGCATCATGTGTAGGCTAGGCCTTATTCAGACAGACTTCTCAGCCCAGCTTCAAACAGAGAGGAAGCCAGGGCACCACAATGAGGTGATGTGCCCCTTGTCACAAAGAAGGACCAGCTCTGGAGCCAGCAGGATTCTGCTTCCAGTTACCGAGCTCTTTCTCTTATAGTCCTGATTTTACAGTGCTGCTAGGATTGGATTGAAGTGTCTTGCAAGGACATTTACATTTCCTTCAAATTCTTTGGCTCTGCTCATTCAGCTAACCAGAATGGCTTCTTAAAACTACAAGGTTGTTTCTGATTTGAAAGCCAGTGTTCTTTTTTTTTTTACTTTATTATCAATAATAACACCTAAAAAATGACTCCATCAGAACTGAGCACACACTGTTGGGTGTTTCTGTCATCTTGAACACATACATTGTGGTCATGAAGGATGAATGCTGAAGAAAGGATCGTGTCAGGTAAAATGGGTGACATTTGAAGGCCCTTTTTATGCAACAGAGAGCTGCAAAGGAGCCATAGGTGACCATCGTTCAGAAAGATTCCAAATCAAAAGACGTACCCAGTGACTTACAGAGGTTTCAAGAAGGCTTTATCCCTCGCTGTGCTTTAACAGCTGTATTGAACAATCCCTGTGAATCTTGCAGTCCTCTTTCCAGCCCAGCCGAAGAGCTCCCCTGCAGCATCGGTGCCTGCAATTGTTGAACAAATATTTCTCACACCACAATGCAGTGAGTCAAGGATGCCAGGCAGAAGACGAGCCAAGCCACTAACCCGTACAGTAGCAGTAACCCACGGGAGGCTGGACAATTCAAAGCCATTCCACCGATCTGTTAAACATACTACAAGATTTCTCAAGACGTTCTGACTCCTGTTTTTCAGGCCTTTTTCTGGTGATATTAGTTGCTCATTCCCTTACACAATCAATGTCATGGATCACATACAGAATTTGTAGTGCACCAAACTAAGCTAAACTTGTTACCAGTAAATAAAATTCTAACAAAGCAGTGAACAGGGGTATAATATTGCAAGGGAGTGCATTCGAACCAAGTCTAAACCACTTCCGCTAGGAAGATACAACATAATTTTCTGTGAAGATCTACCAAAATATAAGCATCAAGTAAAAGACCAGAGATGACTATTAATTTTTTATCATGTTTCCATTTTAGTCGTAAATGTTTACACAGGTGGTTTCCACCAGGACAAACGTAGTAAGTTCATTACTTCCTAAAGATTGCGGTTTTCTAGTGCCGCTGCACGCCATGGATTTAAATGTTAAATTGACTTTTCAGAGCACCACTTCGTATTGACTTTTGTGCGCTCTGTTCTTCTGCTGTTTCAAAATGTTAATTCACATGTTACCAATTACTGGATTTTAACAAAAACAAGTAGCAGCAAGAAGAAACCCCTGTGGTTTTTATGGCAATACTAACTAGGAGTCAAGATAACATTTCATGGCATGCGGATCGGGAAAGCAGTAACTGGAGAAGAATTTTATGGTATCTCTGCAGTATCTTACCTTATTTTCTATGTGTTGCTGTTTAATATTCAGTCCCTTGCCAACACTTTGCACCAGATCTCAAGTTAGAGATACTCTACCAAACATGCAGAGTTTGAACCTAAGGCATGTCTTTGTCTTTGAAAAATGTCTTCAGTGACTTGAAAACAATCCAACTTTGCTGAGAAGCTAAATTTTAGTTTTTGGGGAGAATGAACAGAGTTACTTTTAAGGCTCTGAAAAGAAAGAAAATTCTAAGGACTTGGCAAGTTTTTGAGGATTATGGTATGGCAAAGGTCAGTGGCAGAGCAGGACCAGACATTTGGGAGCTGGGGATGGAAACTGAATGGGACGCATGAATGTGCCTGCACACACATGAATGGAGTGTACCAATCAGACATGAAATAAGTTTTGATCTTCCTTCTAAATAAAGATTTTTCACTGCATATAAAAAAAACACTAGGGGCTTGGAGCACTCATTTTGGCACATACACATATATACATATGTACTGATCACATATCTATGTTTATTAACTCAGTTGCAATAAGGAAATCAAACATTTAATTTGCCTTCTAATCAGGCTTTTTTTAATGGTTAAATCCTCAACACTGTGAACAGGAATGAACAGACCCTTTACTTGGGTGCACACAAATGTTGCCATCAGCCATTCTTCCTTGGATCCTCTTCCCTCCCAGTGCAGCCGATGGCTCAGCCAGGGAAGGGGGGACCAGGCTCCAGGCTGGATGGCTCCAGGCCAAGCATCAACAGAAACGTAAGGCTCTGCAGGTTTCGGGTAACTAGTGAGATCCTGAAAAATTGCAAAAGGGATAAGAAAACTACATGAAGGGCTTTTCTCAGTGATTTTTATACTATATCACTCTCTTCTCTTTTTGAGGCACCAAATCACAGTAGATGGTATTTTTAGCACTTTCTATGTCATGTGGGCGCAAACGTTGCTGACAGAGAATGCCAATGTGCTCCACTAACAAATATAATACTGTTTTACTGCCATAAATGCCTTTTCACAGTAAGGCAGACTGTCTGCTTTAGGGGCTCTTAATGATGCATCTGCACTGCTATTTACAGCAGTGTAGGCTTCTCTGCTATGCCCTCAGACTGATGGATCAAATTCTAAGGGGTTTGTAGGAAGAAGGAGTGCATGTTAAAAGCTGATAAGTGGTGAGGAGTCTAAGCTGAAGCAACATATGCATCTAGAAGGTGTGGATATGCAGAACTGGAACTACACGGTTAGATGCAATTCTTCTTTCAGGTCACATTTTCCTGATGACAGAAAATAGGTATGTCTTATCTGCCACACATGCACTGCATCAGCAGTTCCTGCAGCATCCATATTATATTTTCTTAATGATTCATCCTCTTCCTCCATATGTTTATTTCACTACCCTGACCACATCCAGTTACCAATTACTAGCTAGAAAGAGCCTTATAAAACCATGTTCTGGAGACTGTAAACAGCCCAACGCGGTCTGAGGCTTTGGTGTCACCACTCATCAGCAAACATTTGCAGAGGAAAATAAACCAATCGGCTCTTGCCCAGAATAAAAGACCAGTGAGAAACCTAGCTGTTTGGAGCTGAATCTCCATCTCCTCTAAACAATAAAAAGCTTTCAGATGACTTCAGAGGAGCCTTAATTAGGCTTTTAAAATGGAGGAAGCAGTAGATCTTCACATAGTTGTTGCCGCATATTGAATCTATAAAACAGTTCCTCAGAAGCCATTCCATGATTGAGATAAGTACATGGCTAAAATCAGCAAGAGATTTGCCAACTCTGCCATTCCAATCCAAACCATGAAAGTCAAATTTATTTTTCCTCTGGCTCTTATCGCCAGCTACGTGGACTCCCAGAACTGAAGTCTCTTCTCATCAGCGTGTATCAGCGCAACTCAGGGCAGAGCCCAGTCCTGCAGCTGGGACTGGATGTGCTGTCAGACTGCTCCTTTAGTTCTCTGCATTTTACAGGGATAAGACAATCAGTGTCTTGCATTTTTCATTAATGCAGCAAGCGCACACACTCCTTGTCTTTTCCACTTGAGCTGTTTTTATAATTATTTTTATTATTATGTAATTATTCACGGCTTTGTAAGTAATTTGTGGCAAGAAACAAGTACCCAGTCCAACTGCCATGGCTCTGACTGCCACTGTCACAACTCTCCCTCATCCCTTTTAATCTCCCCCAGGAGTTCAGTCTCCCAGCACTTCTACGAGAGGGGCAGCCTGAGGCAGAAGAGCTTCCACATATGAACTGAGTTGCATAGGACTTCATTCTTTTGGGAACTTCTTTTTTTAAAATACTCCCAACACACATGTAGTCCTACATAACTGTTTCTCCACAAGCACAACCTCCCAACGCTCCCTCTGCAGTCAGTGCAGAAATGAACATTTCCACATGCCTGTCGCTGGCTACCTTGCTTTCTCCTCCCTCTCCTGGGACTTCAGAGGAGAGCGATGGAGGAGAGGAGTCCTCCTGAGCTGTCAGAGCAGGCCAGGAACATCCAGATCTCTGCTTACCAGCTCGCTTGTCTACGTGGCTGTGAGAGCTGACATCTTGTGCCTCTTGAGCTAATGCATCTGTCCTCAAAAATGCAGCAGTGCAGTGACAGAAGTAGCACAGCTAGCGCTCCCGGGCTGCCAACCACCTTCCTCTCTTCACAGCTTTCAGTTCCTTCTGGCTTTATGTGCTCACGGGCTTTTCCTAGGGACAGACTGAGAGTCTGGGAAGGACAAACTGCAGTTAAAAACAGTGATTCTGCTTTTTCTTGTGTGATAAATTAATGCGAATAAGGATTTGGTGCTAATATGTAACTTTTATGGGTGTTGTAATACAGCTCCCCCATATAGCTGTAATGAACAATGTAATGTGGGAATTCATAAAACTCCGAGTAATCCGAAATAAAAAGCTAAACGGCATGGGACCAGCCTTACATCCACCTGATATATTCTGTGGAACTGAAGGGACTGAATGTCCTTAAATTTACTTACGTTAGCTGGGGATCTGGCTCCTAACTTCTCCTGCATTCAGTCTCACACCTTCAGACCAGTTCATTTAAACCCTGTGTTCTCTCCTATCTTCCAGCAACCAAAATAAGCTTCTTAATATTTCATATCAATTCCAGATACCGTGCTGAGCAAACCAGCCAAGGCTCAGCCGTTCCTTTTGTATTTATACAAATACTCCGAGTGGCCAAAGAAAATTGCTTTTTGTCAAATTTGTTTTGAATCGGTTGAGCCCATTTCAGAATGATGTAAGCCCTGAAAAATGCTGTGGGGCTGTCTGAGTCTGTTAGTAGTAATAAGTAAACAAACAAAACCTGCTTTAATTTAGATGAATTTCCAGGCCACAATTGTCAAAATGCCACTAAAAGCTTTTCAGTATTAGGAAACAAAATCTAAATAAGAAACAGAAGCTACATAAGGAGCAGGGCCCTGTGGGAACCTTCCTGCCTTTGGTCTGACAATCTAAAAAGTGTGTTCTGGTTTCCCCGAGCATCCGGTGCACTCCAGCAAGTTTCTAAATAAAGTTGAGTAAAAACTTAACTCAAAGCTTTAGTGTTCTTTAAATGGCATGTTCCTTTGTTGGCATAGCTGCAGTTCATGTTAAAGTAGGCAACCACATTAACATTTTTCCTAAATGCTACTCTATATATTCTAAATTTTCGTCATTCAAAAGTCTCTAAAATAAGCACTTGAAGTAACAACTGCAAACACTTGCACAGGGCTGCACCCATTCAGAAAAGCTATTTTTTACTACTTCACTCAAGTTACCTTCCGTGTTCATTAACCAAAGGATGCTCCATGCTATGACAACAGAGTAAGGCTAGATTTCAGCCTGAGGGCTAGCATAAATAAGTTAGAATCCATCAGCTCCTCATTACAGGATTTGGTATTCACACCAGGCTGCCTCCCAGTACAAAAAAAAAAGGTTGACTGATGCCTTATCTTTGTGATAAACTTTCACTCAGGTACACGTCAAGGCTGAAGGCAATGAAGAGAAAATGTTTATTTATCTGTTACTCTGAGCAAGCAGTGTTTGGCTTGCATGACAATGCTTAATCCCCTTTTAAATCCGAGTAAAAGCAACCTGTATCACATACAACATATTCTGACTGAGAACACAGGTTCTGGGAAACCTGTAAAATAAGCCAACATATTAACTGAGAATGATATTCTTAAAAAAAAAAAAAGAAAAATCTCCACAAATTAAAATCACATAAAATGAACTTACTGTGCAACACCAGCATTTAGAGATAATGAAAGTCTAGCACTTAATTATGAAAAACGAAATAAGAAGCATGAAAATTATAATTGAACAGCAGTCCCTCTAACACATTCACAGAACAGAGTACTAAAAAAAAATCCAGGGAAATGATATATGGGTCAACTTTCAGAAAAAAAAAGAAAAAAGAAAAAAGAAAAGGATCTCACTTTAAATACATACTCAGGCATTTCCATCAGCAATTCCCCCTTCGGAAAGCTGAGCACCCAGCACTGTCACTACCATCAACACATCTTTGAAGTTCTGACCTCAGATACATTCTCCTGCTTTACATCAATTTCTGTCACCACTCTTTCCTTCCCCATTATCACCTGCTCCACAAAGAGCTCAACATTTCACATAAAATCCCCTAGGAAATGCAGAAGCCGTATGTAAGGCTGCAAAGTGTCTTCTGTCCTTCACCTTCAGTGCTTTAGAAGTTTCTCAAAATGTTGGGAGAGGGGAGTTGTGGTTATGCCATGGAAGGAATCACAGAATTTCTAGGTTGGAAGAGACCTCAAGATCATTGAGTCCAACCTCTGACCTAACACTAACAGTCCCCACTAAACCATATCCCTAAGCTCTACATCTAAACGTCTTTTAAAGACTTCCAGGCATGGTGACTCCACCACTTCCCTGGGCAGCCTGTTCCAGTGTCTCACAACCCTTTCGGTAAAGAAGTTCTTCCTAACATCTAACCTAAAACACAGAATCACAGAATTTCTAGGAGGGATGATGTGAACCGAAACAATCACAACTCCCAAAAGAAATGCCCCAGATCAGCCTGAATAGTGGATCAGGCTGCTAATTTCCTTCATGGGCTATACCGGGATCCCCTCCGTGGCTGCACCAGTGCCTACATCAAGCTTCCTGACTGGGATTTTTGTTCAACAGTTTCAGTAGCAAATGTCCACCACTCACCTCATTCTGACCAGTCAACTAATGAGCATTTTAGGAAAGTGCAAACCAGACCTGCAATCCTAATTTCTTTAGGGGGGTTCTGTAGAAGCCCAAATAACCCCACGGCACTTTTAGCATCAACTCTTCTGGCCTCTGAAACGTCTGTGTTGCCCGTGATGGGTCTCCCTGCCTTCCCCAGGCCACCACAGGGAGCCTCCTGAGCAGCTCCTGGCTTTGCTGAAGCCCCACAGGGCCACGGGAGAGGTTTCCTGCAATCCCATCCTCAATACGAGGGAGAACATCACAGACACTCCTGCCTGTTTCCAGTTTAAACGAGAAACAGGGGCTATTTTAAATTGCTATAGCGCATCGAATCTTAATGATTATTGTCAAGATTTTTTATTAACATATACAACGTATTTACCTACAAAATCTTCCTCCTGCCTACGCTGGATTCTTACATTCACCAGCGTATTAGTCACTGCGTAATTATCCCTGCGAAGCCTCATTAATATGTATGGCCGAGAGCTCTCTGGCAGGAGCGCATTTTAATGAAGCGGCTGCAAGGCAACAAGCTGTAATTTCTCGGGGGTTATGCCATGACTAACAACAGCAAACTGACTACAGCGGCCCAGAAACAGTGTGAGGTACGGAGGCAAGGAAATCAAATTCATTTTAATATTTTAATTATACGCCTAATTAGAAAGCGTTTATGCATCTCAGCTGAGCAGTTGCGGCACCGAACGATGGAGAGCTATGGACAGCAAATATCGCCGAAAAGTGTGGATTTCCTGCAATCTGCAGCTTTTTGTGGTTCAGTGGAGGACTTGGGTTAGGTCAGGGGCTGGGCTGGGTGATCCTGGAGGTCGCTGCCATGATTCTGTGGTGATTCTGTGGTGATTTTGTGTAACACCCTGCATGAAGCGGGGGGACGTGGAAGACCAGGCACTTTGCGGCCATCCTTTACCATTCTGTATTTAACAGAACACAGAATTCTTTATTTATTTGGTGAGGTCCCAGCGTGTTATTTCTGAGGCACCATTCTATAAACCCCGTGTAACTCCCACACCAAACACACTGTGTGTGTGTGTGCGTTGTGCTTATCGCCGACACCGGCAACTCTGCCGCTACTGGTGCAGCCCCGGCACTCCAAAACGCCGTCCACCATCAACCTTTTTTGCCTCTTTTCACTCGGAAAGTCCTAGAGGACACCGTGAGGCCGCCCTGAGGCCTCCGGGGCCGGGCGGGTGGCGGAGCCGCCCCCGGGGCGGGCCCGGTGGGGAGGACGCGGCGGCGGCTGCCCGCGTAAGGGTCGCTGGAGCGGTGGAGGCCGCGGCGGGTGTGGGGAAGGAGAAGGAGAAAGAGAAGGAGAAGGAGAAGGGAGGAGGCGGTGGGACGAGCCCAGCCGAGCCGGGCAGAGCCGGGCAGGAGGAGCGGGGCCCCCGCGGCTCGTCCCGCCCGGCCTCGGTGCAGGCCCCGCGGCTGCCCCGGGCGGGCTCCATGAGGGGTGCTTGCAGCTCGGGGGCTGTAATGCAGAGTTTGGGAGGGGATTTTTGTGCCCCCCGCCGCTCTAACAGCGCCAAACAACTTGTTAAAAGTGGAAATTTCACCATTCGTGGCCTCGCTCCTGTAGCAGCCGCCACCTCGCTGATTTCTGCCTATTAATCCTTGCCTTTTCCGCCCTGGGGAGGCTGGGTTTTAATTTGTAAATGCGGTTTCTCCTCTCTTTTAACTCCTAGGGCCATGTGGAACAATCTCACCTTCTGCTCCGTGTGCAAGCTCGCCCCTAAGCCCACGCCGCTGCTGCTGCCCAGATTCCTGCCTTTAGCTCATGTCTTCAAAAGGAGGTGTAAGGGCCTCGGTGGCAGCAAGCACCCAGCACAGACACCACAAAACGAGGGGCTGAAAAGGACGAGCAGCCTGCTCCCCGCTCGTTTAGTAAGTAGCAAAGCAAAATGTAGGCGGTATGCGAAAACCTACCCTGTGTTAGATGGACGCGTCCTGTCCGTGTACCGACATGTGTTCGAAGAAAATTTAAGGAACAGTGAGGCTGTTGTTAAAAGGTAACGACTGGTTTTTGTGGTGTTTTCAAAGTGTTGATACGTGTGAGGTGATGTGAGCGTTACTTACAGGTGCTTTTAGCAACTTTGAACCCAGGAAGATCGCTAGTTCAAAACTCCAGAGATGAAAAATAATAATAATAATAAAAAGTTGGTTAGTATTTTTTTCTGACCACTTTGAAGCTTTAGTTTCCTTGCTGTTTCCTGGTCAGTTTCTGTTGACTGAGGTGCCTGAAGTTAGGTGCAGGCTGTGTTTAAAATACTGTCATATGACATTGTTCTGCACATATTGCCAACAACTATTTTTAGGCCTTCATAAAATTTACTCAGGTTTGATTTTGAGTGTAAAGAGATAAATGGTGACCCGTGCACTTAAAGATTGCTCCTAAATGAGGGGGTAACAGTTACTGAAATTAATCACGGTTCACTGATAAAACAGGAAAACGTGTTTCATGCATTTGGCCTTAAGGATCAGATGGCAAAAATTCAAAGGCCTTTGTTCAGAGGAATGATAGGGGAGCTGAAAGCCCAGCTATGGAAAACACACTGTGCCCTCCTGTGGTGGCATTTACAACACTATTAAAATCCTTAGTTTTTTTCTGCTGAGGTTTTTCGACCTCTACAGTCTGCAGGAAGCCATAATAAAGTAATGGAGTCACGCACAGAGTGGTTTGTAAATAGTTACATTGGATGGTATTTTTATTTAAAGATAATGCATCTTGGTGAAAAATATTTGACTTAAAATAAACATAAAGCCTTGCTTGTTTAAGACCAAAGTTATTGGAGGTACTACGTTTGTTTCCAGTTTTGCTCAGTTCATTATCTGTATTTTATGCTGCCCTGATAATAGCAAATGGTAATCAATGTCTCTTTTTGATGACTGTAGTGACACTGCAGTGTTCACTCTGTTAAAGTTCATCTTCCATGCTGTTG